CCGTGTTTTACGTGCCAGATCACCATAGCGGGGACTATGGACTGAAACTCTGAAGCAAATTTAAAAAGACCTCCCAGTTGTTCTAGTGTTTAGAAGTTTGCTTTGGGGGTAGATTTGTTCTTTGGGAAGCAGGTTTAGTTTCAGGGTGAGACTCCTGAGACTGTGCTCATTTCTGCTCAAGGACTATTGAACCAACGTGACCAATTGTACTAAGAGCAACAAAAAAAGCAACAACCCCCACCTCCACCATGTGTCCCTGAGTCCTCTTCAGCAGCAGCTCTAATGCTCACCTGCTGTATTTCCGTGGTTGTTTTGGATTGCCCTAGCCCTTAGGAGCCCAGGTGGTGGGTCGGGACGTCATTGTATGGAGCTATATATGGAGCAAAAATTAAAAACCTTCACTCACAAATCCACACAGGCAAAATACGTGCTTTGGTGACTGGCTGCAATGATGGGAATGTTCTGACACCTGGGGAACTTCTGCCTGATGTGCAAAGGGGACAAGCACACTGAGCACATCCACTTTTCCTTACAGAACTGATAAAACTTATGTCATACTGCTGCTTCATGCAGGACCATCCCACCCTGCCTAAACCGCTGGCCTGTATACCTCACAAGAGCTAGGTGAACATCTCTGTATGTCTTTGCTGCAGGAGTGTGCTGTGTGCAGGGTACGCCGGTTCTCCAAAATCCTCCGGCTGTTACACACCTGTCCCCATTGCTTCCCCACACATGCAGCTGGCAGTGGTGCCAGGGCACAGTGAGGGGTGCCTGTCCCAGCATGACGTCTGGGGCTGGGCTCACTGTTAGCATCAGCACAATACGTTCCTTGCTGATCTAAGGAGATGATAGACAAATGCAAATTGGAATAATGCCTTTCTGCCTATCTCTTAATGGCACTTTCCTTTTCTGGGGAGTTTCCCTCCCACCCAAAGAGGATATGCCCTAAGCCGTGAATTTACTTCTCGTGAATATACGCTGCCTTATATTCACGCGTATAGGTTGCGCACTCTGGCCCACTGGCTTGTGTCTGGCGCTGGGTGCGCTCCAGGGCTAGCCGCCTGCTTTATTCCACGTGAGCCTGCAAAAGGCTTGGGGCAGCTGCTCCCGCTGCCCCTAAACGCCCTGCAGGTGCCGGGGGCTGCCC